TTGTGTTTTCTAGGAATTTCTCCATTTCATCCAGTTTTTCACATTAATTGGGATAACGTTGTTCAAAAAATTCTCTTTTAATGTCTGTGGGTCGAGGTGATGGCCTCTTTTGGTTCCTCGTGTTGGTCATTTATGCCTGGATTCCTGACGCTCAAGCCCTCCCCCCACAAGCTAAACACCTACTACACATGGCCCTGGCTTCTTGGCTGAGGACAACTCCATCCTTCTAGTTGCTAGGTTCCAAACCTTGGAGGGGCCCTTGACTCCTCCCTTCCTCCAACTGCTTCCACCTTGGCCACCAGGAAATCCTATTGGCTCAACATACAAAAGAGACCCAGGATCTGACATCACTCACCAGTCTGCTGGCCCCTCCCTGGTGGGAGCTGTCACCCTCTCTCACCTCGATCACTGAGCTGCCTTTCACCTGGTCCCCTGCTTCTGCCCTGGCCCCTACAATTCTCAGAACAGCAGCCAGAGGGAGTTCGCTAGCATCTAAATCACATCGTATCACTTTTCACTCAAAACCATACAACGCTCCCCATTTCATTCACAGTGAAAGTTCACATGCTGAAAATGGCCTCCAGGACACACACGCTCTGGCCCCTATTTCTTCTCTGACCTCCCCTCTTTCCAGTCTCCTCTAGCTCACTCTGCTCCAGTCACCCTGGCTCCTGCCCCAGGGCCTTTGCATTTATTTGCTGTTCCCTCTCCTGGGATGCTTTCTTCAGATATCTGCATGGCTCCCTCCCTCCCTCCCTCCTCTGAGTCTTTGCTCACATGTCCCTTTCTCAAAGAGGCCCACCCTGATGCCCTATGAAAATAGACATCTGTTGCCTCCCCAGCCTGGTATCCCCAACCTCTGCACCCTGTTTTCCTTTTCCCATTCTTCATCTTACTTATCACAACTTATTTATCATGTCTGGTGTTCATGTTGCCCACACACACACACACACACACACACACACACACACTAGAATGGCAGCTGCAAGAGGGCAGGCAGGGATCTCCACCTGTTTGTTCACAGGGGCCTAGAACAGTTCCTGGTCACAGGAGGTACTTAATAAATATCTGTGGAATTAATTGTTGACTGAATTTTCTGTACCAAATACTGTGCTAGAACTTTTCAAAAGGATGACCTCATTCAAACCTTACAGCAAGTAAATGTTATCCCCATCTTCCCGATGAGGGCACATGTTCTAGAGATGGTGACCAACTTGTTCAAGGTCACAGAGTGCAGACGTGGCAGCACTTCAGGAGGCCTGCAGTGAGGTTATGGGACCTAACTGAGAATATGGAGACTATACAGAGGAGGGAATATCAGTCAGTCAGAGGGGTGAGGAAAATCCGATTGTTGTCGGGTTCTGAGGTGAGCCATTTGGGATGCGGTGAGACAGTCAAAGAAACGGGGAAAGAGTCTGACCCTTGTCTTTGGTCTTTATATACATGGTACATGTTTACAGATCTCGGAGGAACTTAGGGTGGGAGAATATTTCCAACAAAGTAGGAAGGAAGGGCAGAAACCAAAAGAGAAATGGAGTCATACTTGACCATATAAAAATTAAATTCCATGTATGTAAATCTATTCTAAATACAAAGATAATGAACAATCCTTGAAAACCAGACACAAAAAGACAAATAGTGTATGATTTCATTCTATGAGGTCCCTGGAGGAGTCAAACTCAGAGAGAGAAAGTAAAATAGTGGGTGCCAGGGGCTGGGGGAGCAGGAGGGGGAGCTTGTGTTTAATGGGGACAGCTTTCAGTTGGGGAAGATGAGAAATTCTGGGAATGAACAGGGGGTATGTTTGTACTACATTGTGAATGTGCTCAATGCCCCTGAACTGTACACTTTAAAAAGGTTCAGATGGTAAATTTGATGTTATGTATATTTTATTACAATACAAAAAGTCAGAGGCAAGTGGCCAAGTGGTTTCTCGCCCTGTAGCTATAGCAGCCACTGGCTGTTAATGACAAAGCCTCCTGCCCTGCTGGCCAGAGCCAGAGCTGACTCAAGGTGACAGTCAGCCCTCAGGGCTCCTAATCGTGCTCCCCCCACTCACTTAGGAGTAGTTGGATTAGACAAATTGGCCATCTTATCTTCCAGCCGGCCCCAGCTGGTGGCGAGGGAGGGAGGCTGGGGCAGAGTGAAGGGCCTCCCCTATTTCTCCTGCTGCTCTTCACCTACATTTCCTCCTCCTCCCTGTTCTTCATCTCCTTCTCGAGTGCCCCTCCCATTTCATCCCCCCTTTGCCATAGTGAGGAACCCCGAGTGAGCTTTCACTGGGCCTCGGGGAGCACACGTGTATACCCACGTGCTGGGTGACTTTCCAGGGCAGTAATCTGCTTTCTGCTAAAACAGGACTTGATCTTCTGTTAGCCCTAATCATCAATTAGCACTCCACTCTGCAGAGACGGTCATGGTCCAGGACTCACTGCCATCCCCACCTCCTCCCACCTCTGTCATTTCCCTTCCTCTTCTCCAGGGTCTTGGAGCAGACTCAGGACTGAGCTCAGTCATTAATTCCATGCTGGACAAGGGGAGTGGGCAAGGGGTGGGCTCAAGCTGGAGGTTTCCCTCACATGTCCCCATCTTCCTCTGCCAGACCCCCACTGAGATGGCACTTCATGTTGTTCACTAAGGGCTTCCAAACGACACGGTGGTACTGGAAGCCCACGGCAGCCTCATGGGGAGATAGTGGGGATGGGGAGGACTGATCAACTCCCTTTAGACAGAAGGAGAACCTGGCCTGAGGTGGAGGGGTTGCCCCAACCAAGGCCATCCAACCAGTCCGTGGTGTTGCTGGCAAGAGACAGTCTTGTGTCCAATGCTCAGAAGGGACCAGGTGGGGCAGGCGATCTCAGAAGAGGCTCACTTCCAGCTCTCTCATTCTCAGATGCTCTGATTCTTTGACCCTGGTGGGAAACAGAGAGCTAGAGCTCCCTGGGGCCCGGGAAGAGGGGAAAGCATGGAATTGGAAGTCACAATGGCCTGGGGTTGGATTCTAGGGACTTGACCTTGTTACATCAAGCTACACTGTGAGCCACGTGAACGTGCTATGTTGATGCTATGAGCCTCTGCTTTCACTTCTTTTGGGTATATACCCAGAAGTGAAATTGCTGGATCATATAGTAATTCTATTTTTGATTTTTTGAGGAATTGCCAAATTGTTTCCCACAGCAACTGCACCGTCACAATCTAATTTTAGAATATTTCCATCACCCCCAGAGGAATCTTTGTCCCCATTTGCAGTCATTCCCCATTGCTCCTCCTCCCCCCAGCCCCTGGCAACCACTAATCTCTTTTCTGTCTCTATGGATTTGTCTGTTCTGGACATTTCATATGAATGGAATCATACACTATATGGCCTTTTGTGGCTGGCTTCTTTAACTCAGAATCATGTTTTCAAGTTTCATTCGTGTTGTAGCATGGGACAGAATTTCATTCCTTGTTTTGGCTGAACTCCATAGCATGGATAGACCACGTTTGATTTTTTCATTCACCTGCCAATTCACTTTTGGACTGTTTCTGCCTTTTGATCTCTTGTGAATAGTGCTGCTATGGGCATTCTTACACAAGGTTTTGTGTGGACAGGTGTTTTCAATCCTCTTGGGTAGCTATCTAGGAGCAGAAGTGCTGGGTGTACTTTCTCTAGCAGTCAGGGACAACACAGCCTTCCAGGTGTCCTTCAGCAGCGAGCCCAGCTTTCCAGGCTGCCAATATGCCCTGGCAAGATTGTGGCCAGGATGCTTTCCTTCAATTCCACGCAGAGCCCCTAGCCTGACACCTGGCACATGGCAGGCACTGACCAATGCTAGGAGCCATTTTTATTATGGGTGGCCCAGCTGGGGCTCCACGCAGCTCTGGCTCTCAGCCTGGCAGCCAAGGCATCCCCTCCACCTGCAGGAGTGGTCGCATCCCCGGGAGCTTTCGTGTGGAGTGCTAAAGAGTCATGGCACTGAGAACAGGGAAGTGAGGACATGAGCCCATGCCTTGGCTTTAGTGAGCTTAAGGCCAACCCAAAGGAGGTGCCTGAGGGCAGCTGGATAGAGGGGAGCTGGCAGAAGCCATGAGAAAAGATGTGCTCTCTAAGGGGAGCCCGTGGAGGGGGACGGGGTCTTCTGTTGGAAACAGGAAGGCTGGAGAATTGGGCAATTAGCAAGTAATCAGTGCCCATGCCAAGTGCAGAGCCAGCAGCAGACAGGCTGCAGCAGCTGAAGAGGGACAGCGGAGACCGCCCGTCTGGAACACTCTGGAGAGAGGCTTTCTTTTGAAGGCAAGTCTAGAGGGAGGCTTTAGTCAGGGGCGGTCCAAGGAAAGTTCGTGAACTTAGGGGAGGAAGACTCGGGCAGGTGGGGTCTGTCTCTGGGCACCTTCAGGTACTGCGGAAGGGCTGCTGGGAGGGCCCAGATGAGTACCCTGGTGACCGACGGAGCTGCAGCTCATAGAGGGCATGGGGAGGGGGAAGCAAAGAGCAAGATGCACAGTGGAGTCTCCTCTCCCCCCAGGTCTGCCCCTCCCCTCCTGGCAGAGGAGCCCCCACTGGCACAACGTGTATTCATGTGTGCCCCGTGAGATGGCCTGATGCTCAAGGAAGCTCCAGTTCCAGGCCTCAGTCTTGTGGAGCTTCCTGGCCTCCCGCCTCCCAGGGCTCTGGGGTGAACAACATGGGAAAGGCGAGTACGGGCTTTGGGCTGCTCCCTCACCCATACCCCAATCTAAAAATCCTGACCCTTGGGTCTGCCCGACCTAAGAGTGAGAGCTGGAGAGAATACATAAACAGGAGCAAGGGTCTACAGCAGCTCCTGCCGCCACCTCAGAAAGCTGGGGGCTCTGAGTTTGGTTCCAAACAAATCCCTCTGAGCCGCCCTCATGGGTTTGTCTGAGGAGCCGGGAGGCACGAGGTGGGGGAGGAGGAGGTCTAAGTCCAGGGCCCAATTAAGAGATCAGACGGTGAAGGGTTTGGGAGCTTTTAAGGTGAGGAGGTCCGGGCTGATCCCACAGGCTTGTATAAATTGCTGTGACCCCCCGACAGCACCAGGACTGGCAGGCATCAGGGACAGGGTTTTTGGAGCCATGGCCCACCTGTGGGACCCCCAAAGGCTTTCAGGAGGGCAGCTGCAGGCCAGTTTCGAGGACAGCACCCAGAGGAGCATCTTCACCTACACCAACAGCAACGCCACCAGAGGTGAGAGAGCAGGCGCCATGAGGCTGGATCATGCTGGCTGGAGCAGCCCCCTGGGACACCAGGCCCAAGGGGCCATGGGGGAGTCTGTTTTCTGTACATCGTCACCAGCCAAGAGGGTCTTCTCCCTTAGCTTTTATGATGACATGAATGGGGGTTTCCTTTCTGAAAAGAAAAGGACACCAGCATATCAAATATGCATTTTCAAACCACGTAGGCTTACCAGACCCTTTGAGAATCGCTGTCCCAGGAAAGTTCATTACTCTTTCCTTGTGACCCCACACTGCTAGTGGGCACTCATTACATTCAAGTTTGGGGAAGGAGCCGGGTCTGACTCATCTTTACATGTTTTGAAACCAAAAGGAGGCAAACACCAAGAGCAGGAGGCTTGGGGAGGGGCGTGAGTGACTTCTAGAACCTTAGGGTCAGAAGATACCATAGCAGTCATCTTGCCCAGCGCCATGCCAGGGCCCGCAGTCTTAGGCTGCACAGTCTGGTAGAAGAAGCTTGCTCGGCTCCCAGGGTTACCTTTCTGCTTCGAGCGGGACCGTGGCAAGAGAGGGCTCAGGCCCAACAGAAACTGAAAACTGTTCAGACAGCTAGAGTTCTGCCCTCAGAGCCACCCAGTCAGAAAGCTTTGTATGTGAGCCATTTAAAGAGCTGAGGACACTAGTGATCCCCAGCCCCTGGCCTCCTCCCTAGGTCCCCCTTCCAAACCAAAGACCATTGGTTCCTTGAAGAACATCTCATGTGCTGTGGTTTCTTCGCGGCCAGGGCGGTGATCAGAAACAGGGTTCCCAGGCCAAACTGGTTGAGAGCCCTGAAGTTCATGTTGACCTGTTTGCACCCCAGAATAGCCTTGAAGGAGATGAAACAATGCTCTCGCTGGGGGCCCCTGAGGCTTCTTCAATGCCCAAGATTCCTTTTTGTGAATTTTCCCCCCAAAACTCAAGTATCTACCAAAGTAGAGAGAAGAGTATAATGAACCCCCGGGTATGGATCACTTGTTTTATTTCATCTGTAACCCTCTCCACTAACCCTTCCTCCTGATTTCTAGCAGCAGATCCAAGTCATCACACCATTTCTTTTTTTTTTTTTTAAAGATTTTTATTGGGGAATTAGGGGGATAGGAACAGTGCTGGGGAATTGGGGGAAGGGGAACAGACAAGTTGCTGTCGTTTTGTTCTTCAATCTAGTTGTGGAGAATGTTGCTTCACTGCCCAAGGTGGCACCATCATTGCGCTCTTCCCGGGCGAGGCAGATCAGTCGCCGGCTTCTGGACGGCTGCTCACTGCGGCTGCTGGCCGTTCACGCTGGCTGCTGGCCACACACGGTAGCCCATGACAACCCACTGCCACAGGGGCTGCAGCCTACGCCGTCGCCGGCGACTCATGGCAGCCCAGCTCCAGGTTGAGCTGTTGTTCAGCATCTTAGCTGTAGAGGGCAGTGTCACTGGCCCTCATATGTGGGATCCGAACCGGGGCCCTCTGGCATCCCAAGCGAGTTCTTAACCATCGCGCCACTCGGCCGGCCCCACACCATTTCTTTTTTTTAATCTTCAGGACGCATGTCTAAGGGGAAAGGACTCTTTAGAAAACATAACCACAATGCCATTATCACACTTAAAAGATATCATCAAATATCCCAGTCAGCATTTAAACATTTTTTCCAGTTTGCTTGAGTCAGGGCTCAAATAAGGCCCACACATTCCCATCGATTGATATGTCTTTTCATCCTCTTGGAATTTAGAGGTTTCTCCTCGACTTCCTTGCAATTTATATGTCAAAGATAATGAGTCATTTGTCCCTGGATTCACCCACCTCAAACTCTGCTGATGGCTTCCCATATTCTCAGGGAGTTGGCCTGAAGGTCTGATGGGAGGCCGGCTGGGTTTTTTGGGTGTTTTGGCGAGACTGCACCATTAGGAGGGTGTCCCTTTTTATGGGGTGTTGACAGCTGCTGAAGCCCAATGCCAGGACCCATTAAACCACTGGGAATTGCAAAAATAGCATTCCGGCTGTCTTCATCTGTTACCTGGACTACTTCGATAAAGAGAAATTGCCCTCGTCCACTATTGGGTTCCCCAGGGGGGTAGTGTGTATGGAAAAGGCAGGAGAAATGCTTGATCCTTCCTCTTTCCCTCTCCCATTTCAAAATAATGACTTGGTTCCCCAGTGGAGCCAATTGGGTTTGACCACTGTGTCTTCTTTCTTTCCTACCAAGAATCATGGTCTCAAGGGCTTTGGATAGAATCAGAATTTAAATATCATTTAGTTTATCATTTTTTTTATTCCTCACACACTCACAATGGTCTTGGCTCCCTGGATCATGATTACCAACGCAACTGCCAACGACATGATTACCAAAAATGTAACATTTGAAAAGGTCTTCTTTTTTTTAAAGATTACTTTATTGGGGAATTGGGGGGATGGGAACAGCGCTGGGGAGTTGGGGGAAGGGGAACAGACAAGTTGCTGTCCTTTCGTTCTTTAGTCTAGTTGTGGAGGACGTTGCTTCACTGGCCCAAGTTGGCACCATCATTGCGCTCTTCCCGGAGGAGGCAGATCAGTCGCTGGCTTCTGGACGGCCGCTCACTGCGGCTGCTGGCCGCTCACGCTGGCTGCTGGCTACACATGGCAGCCCATGGCAACCCACTGCAGCAGAGGCTGTAGCCTACGCTGTTGCCGGCAGCCCAGCTCCAGGTTGAGCTGTTGTTCAGCATCTTAGCTGTAGAGGTCAGTGTCACTGGCCCTCATATGTGGGATCCGGAACCAGGGCCCTCTAGCCTCCCAAGCCAGCTTTTAACCATCGCGTCACTCGGCCGGCCCAAAAAGGTCTTTTTTTAAGGAATTTTTTTTATTAGGGAATTGGGGAAAGGAAACAGACAAGTTGCTGTCCTTTTGTTCCTCAGTCTAGTTATGCAGGACGTCGCTTCACTGGCCCATGTTGCTATTATCATTGTGCTCTTCCCGGGTGAGGCAGTCGCTCGCTGGTCATTGCACAGCCGCTCACAGCGGCTCACCGCAGCTCACGGCGGCTCAAGCCCGCTGCAGGCCAGCCCCACTGCAGCCTACACTGTCGCCGGTGACTCACAGCAGCCCAGCTCCAGGTCGAGCTGTTGTTCACCATCTTACCTGTAGAGGGCGCAGTGTCACTGGCCCTCATGTGGGATCTAAACCAGGGCCCTGCTGCTCACAGCTGGCATCCCAAGCCAACTCCTAACCAACGCGCCACTTGACTGGCCCTGAACAGGTCTTTTTGTCTTTAGGATATATGCCACTACATTCATGTAGTCAAGTCTCTTAGAAGAGTCCTTTTCTGTGTGCTTATGCCACCAAGTGGCTATGCATTTGGGTCCATTTGTTTCATTTTTTATTTTCAGGGGTTGCTTTTCAAAATTTGATACTGTTTTTTAATTGTGTGATAAAATAATAGTGGCTTCCAACTAAAATCTAGAAAAACAAGGTATATTCGAAGAAATCTTGCTTCTCTGCCTGCCCCTACATCTGATTCCCCCTCCCTGTATTTCTTAGAATACCTTTGCCTGGGTGTTGACTGTGATACCTTTCTCATGCTCTTTTCTTCATGAAATGAGTCCCACAGCTTTCAGGAGGGAGGGGCAGACTGGGACACCTGCTCCAGTGTCTCTCCTCTCTGGTCTCCCACATTTGTAGTGCTCCTGTCCCTCCACCACCATGCACAGCCCATGTCCCCACCCTGTCCAATTTGGACTCCATGGACCATCTGGGAAGGGCACTCAGGCTGCCTCATTTTGAAACTGCTCCAGCCCCTTGCATTTGCCTGCAAGTTGGAGACACCTCCCAGTTGCTATTCTCACTCTAAGCCTCTGTGCTTTTTGAGTAACTCCAATATATACAGAACATCATAGAGATGCGTCATGGTCGTCTCAAGGAGCCGAGTGACTCTCATCTGGGGAATCTGGAAAGGCTTCCAGAAACCAAAGGCATCTGAACCAGGCTTTATGGTATGGAAGGGAGAAGGACCCAGTTGCAGGGGAGAGCTTGAGTGAAGATCCAACAACAGAAAGATGTGGCGTGCACACGGGAAGCAGTGCAGGAGGTGCAGGGGGTTCATGGGAGCAGAAGCCTACCCCATGAGGCTGGCCAAGCATACTGGGGGTGGTGAATTGTAGGAGGGAGCGACAGCCAGCAGAGATACCGAAGGCTTCTGCTTTGTTACTTCAAGAATGCCCCCCTGGGCTGGCCGAGTGGCTCAGCTGGTTAAGAGCTCATTTGGGAGCGCCAGCTCTGAGCAGCAGGGCCGTGGTTCGGATCCCACATTGAGGGCCAGTGACGCTGCGCCCTCTACAGATAAGATGATGAACAACAGCTCAACCTGGAGCTGGGCTGCTGTGAGTCGCCTGCAATGGCGTAGGCTGCAGCAGGGCTGTAGTGGGCTGCCGTGAGCTACATGAGTGGCTAGCAGCCAGCGTGAGCTGCCAGCAACAGGTGAGAGCTGCTGTGAGCAACCGTGAGTGGCCGACCAATGACCGGCGACCGATTGCCTCACTCAGGAAGAGTGCAATGATCATACTAACATGGGCTAATGAAGCGACGTCCTCCACAACTAGACTGAAGAACAAAACAGCAATTTGTCTACCTGTCTGTTTCCCTTCCCCGATTCTCCAACGCTGTTCCCCTCCCCCAACTCCCCAATAAAATTAAAAAAAAAAAAAAGAATGCCCCTGCAGGTGTCCAGCAAGCCATGGCCTCTGTCCTGAGAGACAGGATAGAGGACAGGTTGTTTGCAGATGCGCAAAGCTAGAGGAAAAGAACCGTTTGCAAAGGCAGTGTGCAGAAGAGCAGAAGGGTTGACGAGAGGCTTGAGGGGAGGGTTGAGGGTTGAGGGTTGACAGGGCGAGGAGGGGTAGGATGGGCGTAGCTGTACAGGTGAGTGACGCTGCTGCCTACTGTGTACCTCCTGTCTCCAGGCCCCTTTGATGGCCCCAATTACCACATCGCCCCCAGATGGGTGTACCACCTCACCAGCACCTGGATGGTCTTCGTAGTCATTGCATCGGTTTTCACTAATGGGCTTGTGCTAGTGGCCACCATGAGGTTCAAGAAGCTACGCCACCCTCTGAACTGGATCCTGGTGAACTTGGCAGTTGCTGACCTGGTAGAGACCATCATTGCCAGCACCATCAGTGTTGTGAACCAGGTCTATGGCTACTTTGTGCTGGGTCACCCTCTGTGTGTCGTGGAGGGCTACACCGTCTCCCTGTGTGGTAAGCCAGCCAAGGGCTGAGGCTCGGGAAAGACCCAGCCTGCTGTGTGTAAAGGAAACACTCACATGACAACCCCCCAGGTGTGCCTGCAATGCACGTGCAAGGTACATGTTTGAAGGGAGACAGACCCACGGGGGAAGCTGGGCCGGGGTCATCATTTAGGTGTGGGGATTTACAGTCCAACACACCCTGAGTTCCTGCTCTGAGATAGGTTTTGCTTGGGGACAGCCAGTTTGGGGACATGCAGCTGGCTTATGAGGAAACAGATATAGAGTCAGAGGACCCCAGAACAATGTGGGAAGAAAGGGCTCTGGGCACCCCGAACAGAACTCCCACCCAAATCAGGGACATGTTTCCTTTCAGCTCACCTGTGTTGGCTTTTCCCAGGGAAAGAAGCAATTCCCACATCCTTTTCCCCACCCCCATCACTAATATCTCTGTGGGCCACGGCTCCGTTCAGGTCAACATTGGCTGAGAAGTACCCATGTGCCGGACTTTGTGCTGGGCACCAAGCATATAGGATACCACACACAGGGCCCCAACCCCAAAGTTCTCCCAAGTCTTGGGAAGAGGGAGCCCTATCCCAGATAGTGACTACACAGTGTCATCAGTCCTCTTAGAGGACCTTGTCCTGGAGGAGGCGATGGAGGGGCTGAATCCTGAGTCAGCAGGATGAGAAGGAGGCTGGTGCTAGGCAGCTGACGAGAGCTGGGCTCAGTCACTGGTTAGGTGGGCAGAGGACTGGTGAACAACGAGCTACTGCTGAGCAGACAACAAGAGGCGGGCAGGTCTGGGGTGGCACACTCAGGGGCGGGAACTTTATTTTAGGAGGAGGAGACTGGAGGGGGAGACCCAAGAGGAAGCTGGAAAATGGAAGGGAGGCTAAGTGAGAGAGCCAAAGTTGCATAGGTAGGAGTGGCGAGGAGGCTAGGGTAGGAGCTGGCTCTGTCGCAAGTTGGGTGCCTGGTGAGGCGAGGTGGTTGCCATGAGGCCAGTTGTCTTTCTCAGGGGCTCACGAGGAAGAGGAGGACAAGCAGACCTGACGAGACCAAGGTCCCTTCTGGGGGCCCTTGCACCAGGCCCCCATGAGAGAACAGAGGGCTGTAGGTTGAGAACTCAGTGTACGCCCAAGAAGACACAGAACCCAAGGGCCATGGCACTCAGCACATACAGCCTGTCTCTAGGCCCCCGGCTGTCAAAGCAGCCAAGGCTTGCAGCTGCTGCCCCATTTTTAAACTTTCACAGGGCCACCTGGCCACCACGCCTGGGTCCTTAGCTCCCACATCTAACTTGGGCTTGTCTCAGTGCCACCTAAACTGACCTCCAATTCGGATTCTCAGGAGGTGGACAATATACGTAGAAAAAGAAAGAGACACTAGAATACGAAGGGTCTGGGGAGGGAGGCACCAGGTTTGAATTACTAGTGGTGTGAGCTCCACTAAATTATTTTACTGCTCTGTGCCTCCTCCATTTTCCCATCTGCAATGTGGGGGCAGGACTCAGGAAGGAAGATGTAAATGAACACAATAAAACTTCCCACAACCCTATGAGGTAGGTGCTAACATGGTGCCCACTGTACAGGTAAGGAGACTGCCCTCCCCATCTAACTGCCTCTTATTTTACGGCTGATAACCCAGCGCTCTCCCAAAAGCATAGAATGGGAGTCACTGGGAAGGTCAGGCAGAGAACGTACATCCCCCAAGTCCAAGTGCTCCGTGCATCTCGGTGGTGGTTGAATGGCCACTACCTGAGTGGCCTAAGAATCCACATTCACGGCTGTCTCTGGCTCTGCTTGCAACCTGTTCTTGGGTTGCCCAGGTGCCGAGCAGCCAGCGGTTCTGCCCCAGTTTTGGTGCCTCGGATGCCCCTTGGCCCTCTGGGAAAGCCTATGGACCCCTTCTTAGAAGAATGTTTGCAAATGCACACAATGAGATCCGTAGGATTACAAAGGAAGTCAATGATGTTGAAATATAATTATCAAAGTATTAAACAGTAATTAATGACATAGTCCTTCATTTAAAGTATTAGTATTAAAATTATAATACTAAATTTAATTATATTATTGGATCATCGGGAAAGTCATGACGCATTTTTGCATTGAAAAGCATATAAAAATACATCATGACTTTCCTGACAAACCAATATAAACAATAAATTGTATTAGAAGTATATTTTAGACGTATTAGTGACACTATTTTGCATTAAAGTATCAAATAACTGGATCTGGCCTGACAGCCACTGAAATTGCTAAGTGGTAATGAATGTAGTGATATTGGGAACTGTCTGCCACCTCAGTATAGTGACCGAGTCACAGGCACTGCTAATGCTGTCACACTCATAATGGAAGGAAATGCCAATGTCTGTTAGAGGTTAGTGGAAATAAAGATGTCCTTCTTCCCACCCCAGTTCATGGAGACCTGAATTCTGCACACAGACCTCCAGAGTCTAAGCAGGACAGGAGACGCTTGTCCCCTCCTGCCAAATGGTGGAAAGTGGTGGGAAATCAGGGAATGGGTTCCAAGTGCCTAAGGGAACGCCTGTGTTCTGGTAGGAGGGGCACAGCTCTTGGCTGGGAACATAGCAGTGGGTCATGCTGGTGTGTACATGGCCGTTGGAGGGTTGCCTCGATAGCATCAGAGGAAAGGCTGGTGGCCAAGTAAAAGAGAGGGGAAACAAGGTGGACGAAGATGCTGAATGAGAGGGGACCAGAAGAGGCCCAGCGGGGGAGGACCGGAAAGCAGGTGTTAGGAAAAGAAATTGACCGAGAAACCCAGTGCTCCTTGCACCTGAAAACACTCTTTGGAGAATAAGGTTTTGCTGGTAGTTGGGCGGGGGCGGGGAGTGGGGGGGAGCTCTTCATGTGGAAAACTGTCAGCAAGTTTGGATGGAAGAAGTGATGTTGGAGGCTCAAGGCCATCATCTGTCGGCTCTCCCCCACAGGGATCACGGGTCTCTGGTCCCTGGCCATCATTTCTTGGGAGAGGTGGCTGGTGGTCTGTAAGCCCTTTGGCAACATGAGATTTGACGCCAAGCTGGCCATCGCAGGCATCACCTTCTCCTGGGTCTGGGCTGCTGTGTGGACTGCCCCGCCCATCTTTGGTTGGAGCAGGTAAGGATGCCAGGGTGCCAGGAAGGTGGCTTGTTAGGACGGAGAAGGGAGGGTCAGACTTGTGATTCCCTTTGCAAATTGCTTTCCATCTCTGGGCCTCTGGGGCCCCATGAATAAAGTGAGGATGGACCTGACTCTCCCTGAGAACCCTGTGAGCATACCGTGTCTATGAATGTATGAATCTGGCTGGCTGCAACATGGAAATGGGCCCCAGGGTCTCCAAGCCTCTGGAAATGTCTGTTTCTCCCAAGTGTGAGCTGCTCACGGGAACACATGGAGAGACACCGACAACCTTAGGCCATGGGCTGAGCTGGTTGACCCAGAAAAATGATTTGGGCATTCAATGGTGTTCTTAGAAGGCAAGAGGGTGCCTTGACCCTTCTTTTGTAAAACAGGGGTGTGATTGAGGTGATGAAAATGTTCTGGAACCAGACAGTGGCAATGGATGTACTAAGTGCCACTGAATTGTTCACTTTAAAAATTGTCAATTCATGTAATGTGAATTTTACCTCAATTAAAAAAAAAACCCCACAACCCTACCTAAGCCAGTGGCATGTCTGAGCTGGTGTGTGTGTGGGGGGGTGTCCCAGGTTGACCTGCCTGCACCAGGACAGGTTGCCGGCCCTCCTTTCCAGGTACTGGCCCCATGGCCTGAAGACTTCCTGCGGCCCAGATGTGTTCAGCGGCAGCTCGTACCCTGGGGTGCAGTCGTACATGATTGTCCTCATGATCACGTGCTGCATCATCCCGCTCGGCGTCATTGTGCTCTGCTACCTGCAAGTGTGGCTGGCCATCCGAGCAGTAAGCTTCCATGCCCTCCTGGCTTTACCCCAGCTGGTAGGATCTGGAGGGCCAGGGATGTCTGGGCAGGGACTCAGGATCACCCAATCCGCTCTCCTGCCCCCAAACCAGACGTGAATCTACCAGTTTCTTTGGGGCTGCAGTTACAGCCCTGGCTCTCTTGTCCTTGTCCTTCCCTATAGGATGGAAGGCACTGCCCCCTCCCCCGCCCCCATGGAGGGGCCCAATAAGGGAGCAGAGCTGGATTCCTCCTGACCCAGGACAGTTCCCAGGGCAGCCAGATCTGCAAGCGAAACCTGCAAATTAAGGGGTATTTTTAAAAGGCCAGAGGGCCCTTGTCCCCTTCATGGGCTGTTGGGCAGGCTAAGATTTACAGGTGCCATCTGCCCCAAGGCCAACTCTCTACCCACTTCCCCCTGGGAAGCGGATCCCGTCCATAGCCAGTCCCCTTGCATCCCACCCCCACATGCTGAGCTACCACTGGGGGGCCCTTGTAGGAAATCAGAGAGACACAGGAGGTTGAGATTGGGTCCTGGGGTGCTGAGAGCTTTGCACTCCCCTTGTGGTCCCCTGAACACCATAAGTTGTCCCTTTATCAATCAACTAAGCTACAATTAGCTTGATCTGGATGTGCCATCTGTTCCCATTGGGATCCTGCTTAGCACAGGTAATAAAAGGTGCCTTCGGCATGGTGCCTTTTCTATATGAAGCTGCTTGTGCCCACAATTGGATCAGCATGTGCTGATAAACTCTCTCTAGAGTGGAGGCTGGGGCCTCAAGATAAGCTCCCCTCACCTCACTACCTTCAGCCTGTGATTTGCCCGCCTTCTTCTTCCCCCTACCCTGTTGGTGGTCAGGGATCAGAACCAACTTAGCTGGCTACCACAGGTGTCCAACCATGGTTTGGGCCATGTTAGATCTGGGTTGTGGAGCCCAGGCTCCAGAACGTGTCCCTAGCCCTCAGTTTCCCCTCATGCCCACTCAGCTGCAGGCCGTCAGTTCCTGCCTTCAGCAGGCAGTGGCCAGCCTCTGAGACTTCTCCTGCTCAGACCTGAGCACAGGAGGGGACATACTGATAACGGACAAGGTAAGGCTCAGAACAGCGTCCTTAGCTCCTTCCCAAACTCCTAATGGGAGCCAAGCTAAGCCAAGAACTTGGGAGACCCCGGGTCCAGGCCATCTTAGCCAGGCCCAGCTGCTACCTCAAAGACTGCACAGCTCCCGAGAGGCCACCCTGGGCCAGGCGTGCACTCAGTCAAGTAGGAGCTGGCTGCTGGCTGGCCAGGATGCTGTAGCGGGTGGAACCATCTTCTCCCCACGACTCCCCATCCCTGGGCCACCGCCTCTCACTGCCTTCCGCACTTGCTGCCCAAGCAATAGGAACACGGAGTCCCCTCAGATACAGAGCGCTGAGACTCTCCCACTCACTGTTCCCTGTCATGACTCTCTGTCTCCCCCAGGTGGCAAAGCAGCAGAAAGAATCTGAGTCCACACAGAAGGCGGAGAAGGAGGTGACGCGCATGGTGGTGGTGATGATCCTGGCATACTGCCTCTGCTGGGGGCCCTATACCTTCTTTGCATGCTTTGCTGCTGCCCACCCTGGCTATGCCTTCCACCCTCTGGTGGCCGCCCTGCCAGCCTACTTTGCCAAAAGTGCCACTATCTACAACCCCATTATCTATGTCTTTATGAACCGGCAGGTAAGTCACACCTTTGATGGTGCAAACTAGAAAGACCCCAGAAGAGCCCCGTGATGGCTCCCACCTGGAATCATGTCTGTCCCCCAGGAAAATGACCAGGGAAGGCTTAGCACGTGACCCAGCCCCAGGCAGCTCTCCCTCTGGGTCCTTTTTATGGTCTCCGCCTAAGGGTAGGTGTTGCCTGCAGTGCCTGTGTGCTGCGTGCTCTTCCCTTCTGTTGACCTAGAGTTCAAACACCCAAGGGTTGCCTGAACATGGCTACATTTATCCTACATGTGCACTTCTTACATTCATAGGCACAACTCCTCTCAATCTTCATCTTTCCATCTTTAATCCCTAACTCCAACAAGGACACAAAGAGGCCCTTCTTTGCCACACTGACCTGTGGCTTTCAAGACTTTATGGGTTAGTTCAGGGGGGATGTGCTGTGGTCCCACCCAAGGTCTTGCCAGATGGCAGCCATCATGGGCTGGCAAACTGCCCGTGACTCCTAGACTTCTTGGCAGGTTACAGGTGACCAATGAGGCTCATCATCTTCCAAGTGTAATTTGCCTTATTATTCCTTGAATACATCACATCCACTTCATTAAGGTGCAGTTGTGATGTGACTTGATGGTGGCCAGGAAGGTCCATGGGTCAGAAATACCACCCCCTCAGAGACCTCCCATTTCACCAGACCCAGTCCACCCCTTCCAACCAGCTCTTCTCTGCTCCTCCATTTCACAGTTGCCCCATGGCTCTGCCCGCTCCAACCTGGTCCTGACTCTGTTACAGAGTTCAGTAAGCATGCCTTCTTTTGGTAAGGTTTAAATATTCAGTAGGACCAGTACCACACCAGATTCCCCAGGACTCCATTGCTGGCACCTCAGTCAGAGTGCAGTTCTCCCCTTGACCTGTTTCCTATCTTTCACATGGGTCTCTTTTGAGGTCTGGCTTTGTCTGTGGAATCCTAGGCTAGCTTACCAAGTACTGTCTTTACTTAACTCTTCCCATTCTCCCCCTCCCAGACAGCTGTCTGCACTTCTAAACCTTTCCAGGTTTTCCAAGCTTTCTTTCACCCTTTCCATGTTGTTATCATTTCCTGTTGCATTCTGAGAACTTTCTGGAATGGGACATCATGATGACAGGAAACTTTACTCTTTGTATTCGCTGCTAATCCCCTAGGACACAGTCTGGTGCAGAATGGGAGCTCAGTAAGTAGATGCTGAGTGAATGTGTTAAATGAATTCTTCAGCCTCATTGGCCAGCTCTTCAGCTGAGCTGATTCTGCTGTTCAGCCCATTTCTTATGTTACCGATTTCAACAATTATGTTTGTTATTTTTGAGAGTTTTGATGCTGGAGGTAGCTGGAGGTAGTCAAAATAGGCCTGGAATATAATAGGAAATGCATCTGGTCTTCGTTCTCAAAGCATTGTGGTTAGCTCAGTGATGGTCTGAGACAGGGGGTGGCAAACTGAGGCTCGCGAGCCACATGTGGCTCTTTGGGTACATTCCATCTCAAAAGTTTGCCAACCCCTGGTCTGAGATATCTGAGAAATGAATACAGCCCAGAACTCTTTAGGGACCAAGCAGCAAAGAGCAGGGGCTCCCTGGTGCCGGAAGACTCCCTTGGCTAAAGAGATGAGGTGGTCGCTAGACCGTTGTCTACCTAGTCCTCGCCTGGCCCCAAAATTGATGGAATAGAAACAAGATGACAATCACATTCCCTTTCACTAAAATGCCTCTTTCCGGACATTCTGGAAACAGGTCACTCTATGCATAGGCCCTGGCATCATCTTCAGTCACTGTGTGAGTTCCCTAGGGCGCCATAACAAACTACCACAGACGGGGTGGCTTTAAGCAACAGAAATATACTGTCTCCCAGTTTTGGAGGCCAGAAGTCCGAGATCAAGGTGTCAGCAGGGTTGGTTCCTTCTGAGGGCTCTGGGGGAGAATCTGTTTGTGCCCCTCCCCTAGCTTCTGGTGGGTACTTGCTGTTCCTTGGTTTGTAGATGACTCACCCTGATCTCTGCCTTCATCTTCACATGGCCTACTTCCCTCTGTGCCTTTTGTCTGTGTCCAAATTCCTTTCAGCATGACCTCATGGTAATGTACATCTTAATCACATCTGCAAAGACCATTTCCAAATAAGGTCACATTCACAGACTCCAGGCATTAGGACTTGAACACATATTTTGGAGGGACTCGATGTAACCCACAATAGTCACCGTTAGCGGCTAAATTAGATGACGTAAATGACCAAATAGTCAAGAATAGACCATCCCCATATGCAAGGAACAAGCTGAGCCTTCCTCCATTCATTCTGTAGGATTCTGAATCGCTGAAGAGAAGATGTTAAGTCATCCAGGTGACACTTAATGAATACTTTCTTCCGAATGTCCCAAGCATTACTTAAACATAGCACATTGGCCCTTCCTACTTTGCTGAATAACACTTTCTATCCTGCCAGTTTCGAAACTGCATCTTGCAGCTTTTTGGGAAGAAAGTGGATGATAGCTCTGAACTCTCCAGCGCCTCCAAAACAGAGGCCTCATCTGTCTCTTCAGTGTCACCTGCATAAATATCTCCGGGCCCCAACAACAAAAAGATCTACCTCCTACTGGAAAACGTAACCCCTGTCCCACTCACCAGGGCTTTGGCTACCACCCCCCACCCCTTCTTCTCCGTCCCTGTGAAATAAATGTAGTTTCTCTTAGCCAAAAACAAGGCACAGAAGCTGCCACTGAAATTTGGGGGCACCTGAGCCCCTGAGTATTTAGTCACTGAGTTGCAAGAGGGTGTGAGGGGTTTAGAAAGGAAAGTAGCACTGCACTTCAGAGGCTTTAATCTTTTCCAAACCTTGTGTCAGCAGATGGTACGATGGATTGTGAGAAAGAGGAGTGTGAGGCAGGTGGGCATCGCACTCCTCTCATGGGGCTGGTACTGATGAAATCCGAAAGGGAGAGCTGAGAAGTGGCTGGATGGGTACCCTGACACCTGGAAGGGGAGGAGCTAGCCAACCCAGGCCCTTTAAGACCCGTCTGATAGTGGATTGGAGTCCTTGGAATACAGTCTCTATCTGGAGGGGACCCAGGCCTGCCAGTGCAAGGCAAGGATGGCATGCCACTTCTGCCAGGCCAGGGCCCCGAGCCCGATCAGCACGAGCATAGTACACACATGCAGGTGTGAATTCACCAGCAGCAAGGGGCTGGCGCACACAGTGCAGGTGAAGACCAAGAGGAGGGTGGCCAGTGTGAGGAGCAGGGCCACAAATCGGAATATAAACCAGGGACGGCTTTCTGTCATCTCCAGTTGGGTCATTTGCTGTAGAGTTTCGAGCTTGGATATACGACTCTTGAAAATCTCCATGACCTCCTGCAGGTGACAAAAAAACATGCCCTCACCAGAGGTCGGAAGGGAAGTGAGGTCATGTACCTGAGTTCCTAAGGAGTGCACAGCAAGTGTTGGTGGGCTGAAGATTTAGGAGGGAAGCCGAGAACCTAGAGCACATACATGCTGCGGGCCCCATCCTGGGAGGGCCCACGTTCCCCAGTAACATGGAAGGTCTTATCTGACGTGGCCCACATCCAGTGTGGCCTGAGACTGAGAACCTGGCCAAGAGAGAGCTGGCCACGGACAAGAATAAGCTCTGAGGGTGTGGAAGAGAGTGAGGCTTTCTCTCGGAAGTCCTTCACTCCTTCTTACTACCCCTGGGTCAAAAGCAGGGGCTCCCAGCGGGTGCTCCCCACACCAGCAGCAGCAGCTCCTAGAGACTCATCAGCACCTCCTACAGGTGGTTCTGATGCACCTTCAGGTATGAGAACCACAGGGCCCAAGTTCCCAGATCAGCTAAACTGGATGGGGGAAGTGTGGCATGAACATAAAGCTACGACACTGCTAGCTCTAAAACAAATGTGTGAGTTGCCACTAACCCCTCAACAGGGGCACAGCTTGAGGTCATCTCTTCCCTTGGTTTGGAGGGTATCAGAACAGATTAGCCCATCCTTTGTGTCTCTCATCCCTACATCCCTCTCACTGGCCATTTCTCAAAAAGCTCCCCCATGAGGTACTCACCCACATTTCCTTGGCTCTCTCATAGGACAGATAGACCATTTTCTCTTCAGCACAGGCCAGATTCTGTTTGAGGTGATAAATTTCATTCAGATGCTCCTGCAGATACACATTCACCAGTTCTTCCAGCAACACATGTCTTGGGAGCAAAAGAGAAAGTAATATGCCTGAGTACCCCACCCAAAGCTCATGCTGGTGGTGATGGTCCTATGTCAAGACTAGACCTGGGTTGGGCCGGCCAAGTGGCGCATTGGTTACGAGCTGGCTTGGGACGCCAGAGGGCCCCGGTTCGGATCCCACATGTGAGGGCCAGTGACACTGCCCTCTACAGCTAAGATGCTGAACAACAGCTCGACCTGGAGCTG